ATAACTGTTCATATTACCAATTAAATGATAACCAATACTACTAACATTCAGTGTCAACCAAATATATCAATGTTTATAACATCACTTTAAGCTAAACCCAACATGTCTGGCATGATATAATTATACAAAAAAGGGTACACACTATTATTATTATTGTTACTGTTATTAATATTATTTCTCTTAGGTTATCACAATTCCATCTTTTTTTTTCCTTGATAAATTGCCGATCTATCTCAACATGCTTAGTGCAGTCATGATGAATCGAAATATTGCTTACACAAATGGCTACTTTGTTGTCCCAAACCTTTTTACAATAACCTGAAATTTATCTTCTATCTTCATTGAACCTGCCCAATCTGTATTAGTAAAATCCTCCACGTTTCTTAGTTCATTTTTCTCAAACAATATGCCTTTTCCTAGTGTAGATTTCAGATATGGTAAAACCCAAGAGATTCAAGTTAGATTTCTGATCTGGTCTTGTATGGACAATTATAAAAGCCTCATACTAGTCAGTTGATATCTTCCCCTGTCTTATGAAACTCCATCTGCAATCTTTTTAAAACACATATTTCAGTCCATAGGTGTTTTAGCTGGTTTACAGCAAGCGTCCCTTTTTCTTTCAACAACTCTAAAGTGTACCTTTTTTGGGAAAATTGTAATATTATTTTCTCTTCTTGCTACATCCATTCCGTAGAAGTATCTGAGTTCTTAAAGTTCTTTAATTTCAAATCCACTCCCTTGAACTTTCTTCCGTTTCTATTTCTTCTATATCATCTCTGGTTTATTTAATATCATCCATATATACAATCAGATTTTTTTTCCATCATCTGATTGTTTGAAGAATAGAATGTGATTAGACTTATAGGCTTGAAAAGTGGTGAGTGGGTTAGGTAGTTAGGTAGAGAATTGTTCTAGAATATTCTTAGAGAATAGGATAAAAGGAGGGGGAGTGTCTAGAGTGAGGTAGGCATGAATTAAGTGACTATTTGGGGGAATTGGGGATCACTTGGAACTTAGGTGTGTTGGTTCTAAGGGTGAGCTTTTGGTTTTATTTTTCTGCAATTAGTGTTGTAAGGAGCTTGTCTCCATTATTTTACTTTAATATAATTTTCTGGTTCCATGACTATTTGAAGGTATTAGGGATCTCTAGGAACCTAGGTGTGTTGGTTCAAAGGGTGAGCTTTTGGGTTTATTTTTCTGCAATAGTGTTGTAAGAAGCTTGTCTCCATTAGAACAAACACACCAGTTCTAATGGATATTGGGATCCATGAGTGTATCAACTGATTTACACCATAACATACTAGTCTCTTTTAAGATATCTAAGGCATATTTCCTTTAACAAATAGAAATGGCCTGTCTAGACTGTGTCACCTCAATCCCTAAGAAGTAACGAAGGTTACTAAGATCCTTTGTTTGAAATTGACTGAACAAATATTGTTTTAATTGGTCAATCCCAGCTTTATCACTTCTAGTGAGAATGATGTCATCGACATAGACTTACAGATAGATGCACTTATCAGAAGATGTGCACCTATAAAACACAGAATAATCAACCTTACTATGGATTAAGCAAGCCAAAAGCTTGAACGACATAGCTGAAACGGCTGGACCACACCCGAGGAGACTGTTAAGGCCATATAAGGACTTACGAAGTCTACACACTATTTCAGACTCCCCCTGAGCAACAAAGCCAGGTGGTTGCTCCATGTAAACCTTTTCCTGTAAATCACCATGAAAAAAAGCAATTTTTAAGTCTAGTTTAAGGAGTGGCCAGTGACGAACAACAGCGAAGACAAGAAACATGCTCACAGATGCCATCTTAGCGACAGGAGAGAATGTGTCACTATAGTCAATGCCAAAAATATGAGTAAAGCCCTTGGCGACTAAGCACGCCTTGAGACGGTCAACATGGCCATCAGATCCAACCTAGACAGTAAAGATCCATCGACAACCAACAATAGACTTCCCCAAAGGAGCAGGAACAAGATCCCAAGTGCCATTGGGATGAAGAGCGATAATCTTATCAAGCATAGCTTGGCGCCACCCTGGATGGGAAAGTGCTTCGCATGTGGTTTTAAGATAAAAACAGAAAAAAGACTAGAAACAAAGGTGAAATGAGGAATAGAAAGACGGTCATAGCTCAAAAAGGTACAAAAAGGATAAGGGTTACGACTAGTACGTATATTTTTTCTTTGGGCAATGGGAAGAGCCTCTAGTGAAGGATCCGGAGGGGAAGAGTTGACAGGAGAAGGCGATGAGTCAACCAGGGTCAAGTCCACAGGAGGCACAGTCTGACGACGTTGATAGGTGAGGAAGGGCGGTCCTCAGGGATGGAAACAAGAGGTCGCTCCTTTAGGATTGAGTCACCTGTAGCTAGTAAAGAAAAATCAAGAAAAAGAATAGGAAAAACCTAATCAACTTGTGACAATTGAGATGAGATAGAATGAAAGGGTTGTTGATCAAGAAAAGTGACATCAGTGGAAACAATATAACGCTTAAGATTAGGAGAATAACAACTATAATCCTTTTGAAGGCGATAATAACTAAAAAAAATACACTTAAAGCCAAGAAATTAGAAAAGTAAAAAGAAAAATATTTCTTAGCATTATCACAACGTAAAATACGAATAGAGGCACCAAATTGAGAATAACTCAGCAGAAAACCTTTTATAAATGGAGAATAACTCAGAACGATTTTTAATTAAATAATCATCAATAAACGTAACAAAATACCAAAAGCTTAAAACAGACAAAGTACGAATATGACCCCAAATATCTAAATGAATAAGAGAGAAAAGAGCATAAGCTCTTTTATTGACTCGACTGACAAAGAAGGAGCGTGTGTGCTTCCCTTGCTGACACGATAGACAATATAAAGACTGAAGACTAGATAAAAGAGGAACAATCTTCTGCAATTTTGAAAGATTTGGATGACCAAGGTGATTGTGGATAAGTTGTGGAGATTCTGTGAGAGAGCATGCCACTGAAGGACCAGGCACAATCAGATAGTAAAGACCTCGTGACTCATGGCCCATTCCAATCGTCTTCTCCGTACCGGATCCTACACAGAAACAGAATGGTTAAAGAAGGTAATAATGCAAGTAAGGGAGTGGACCAATTTACTAACAGAAATTAAGTTATAAGGGATGCCAGAAATGTACTAGACAGATGTCAAGGTCAAATACGAGGTTGGACGAGCTTGTCCAATCCCACGAACAGGGGCTTTGTGCCATCAGCTAGGGCAAATGAAGGTAAATGATCGGAATAAGTAAGAGATATAAAGAGTTCCTTATTACCACTGAGGTGATCGGTAGCACCTGAGTCAAATATCCAAGGACCAAGTGATGTAGAATGAGAAACACAAGCAACAAGATTACCAGTTTCTGGAGCAGAAGGCTGAAACTAAGGAGAAGCCTTCCTGAGAAGAGTCTGGAGTGTTGCATAGTCTGTAGGAGAGAGAGAGACTGAACTAGATAAAGCAGTATCTGACTAAGCTATATATGCAGCATGAGAGGGTCGCAAGTGAGGATACTTCGTGTAACAATGCTCCTCATATTTCGTGTGAACAGGAGATGATTCTGCCCTTATGAAGGAAATAAAACATGCACAACAAAGAAAATAGAATGTAACTGATAGCCAAACAAGAAGAAACACGCGCCAAAAAAGAGACCCACGAAGAACCAAGAGCAGATCCGGAAAGAGGAGACAAAACCGAGCAGTTCTGTCCTGAAACGACCGAAAAAGGACGTTGGGAAAGTATTTCCGGTGACGTGAACAGTAACTCTGTCTGTGAATAGTGCTTCTGACAATTGCAAGCCGGAGGGACGCACGACAAGGAAGGAGAGAACACCTAAGCAGTGGACTTAGGGTTTTAGTAGAAGCGAAAGTTTGCTGAACAAAGAGCTTTGATACCAACTTAAGATGGAATGATTGTGTGTCTAATACGAGCACACAGGGAATATATATATATATATATATATATATATATATATATATATATATTAACAAGTACATAAACTAATCTATCTTATACAAAATGTGGGACTATTCTATTATATACATTGTACTACTTTAACATACTATTCTAATAGGAATCATGATGATATTCAACATTGTCTGCATGACCAGACATTGTTTGAATTGGACCTGCCAACGTTGAGCATTTTGCCAAATGCTGAAACATGTCTATATCTCTCACTATACCCTCTGAATCTGCAACTGAATGTGTGATGCAGCACCTGGCATGGCTGTGTTCTAGAGTCGTATTGATTTTCACCTACTTCTTAACAACCCAACCTTTCTTAATATTGGGTTTACTATAGTGGATGGATCCATATCTTTCAAACACAGTTTGTTTGCCATCTAATATTTTAAAAACTGGAACAGATTGATCATTATCTGATGATTAATTAGGCTAACAATCCCTATGGTTATGATAGTTATCAGGCAAAATGTTCTTCTGATTAGGATGCACTGGCATGAAAACCCTGATTGTGATAATCAGGCAATAAATTCTATGATCATGCTGATGATCACATTTCAAATTTGGAACAGATTGGAAAGCCCTATGTTTACTCCATTCAAGCATTAGATCCACATAAATATGATGGTCAACTTGTTTCGAATTGTCAATAACATTCACATTTTGATTTTCCTGAAAATCTTGCTTGAATTATGAGTGTTTCTGAAATTGGATTCTGATTCTGCGTATAACAATGCTATTTGGTGCAAAAGCTTTTGTACAAAAGTTGTTATGAATGCCTCATAACCAATCATGGTTGGAAAAATATAAAGTAAGGTTTTGAAAAGTAAATGGTTAACTGATTAAAAGCAACAAACTTTTTTCACTTTGCTTTTCATCTGTCATTTCACTAAAACACATTTGTACCATTAAACACTTTGATGAGTTTCTGTTTGTGGGCTTATACTTTAAAATTCACTTTCCTAGAATCAAAGTTGTTCTGCTTTTTAATCGAAGTGTCATTCTGTTTTGTGCTACAGTGTTCATTTGGTGGAACTCCAAGGTACCGGCGAACTATATGCAATGAAGGCAATGGAAAAATCTGTAATGTTAAATCGTAATAAGGTCTGGATATGTAAGAAAGTTACTAGTTTTTTTAAAGGTTTTCTGCACTCTTCCCTTCAATTGTTGAAAATAAGCTAATTGATCTATTTTCTGGAAATACAACGTGCTATTCCTTTCTTTTAATGTTTTTTTCTCTAAGCTATTCTTTTACTTGGGCTTGAGAGAACTAGTGTTTTCTCACTCATTATATTTAGATGGAATATATTTGCTATTACAGGTTCACCGAGCATGCATTGAAAGAGAGATTATATCATTACTGGATCATCCTTTTCTTCCAACACTATATACCTCATTTCAGGTAAATATAACAAATCTATTAAGATCAATACAGGACTGGACTGTGAAGTTCTAGCTAGATATTGTTCTACCAGACAAACTAGAATCCATTAAGCAGTAACTCTGGCTTTGGAGTCCACTAGAAATGAGGAAGAACCTCTGGAACAATTCATAATTAATGAAAGTTCTGTATGATTGTATCATCTTTTTATTTTTACCAGGCCTTATAGTTATAGCAAATCTTGATTGACAAGTAAAAACCTTTCTAGAATAGTCTACCCTATATAGTATCTTATTAGGACTCTATTTCTTCCAATGTTATTCTCAAAGCTACTTGGCTTAACTAAATAAAATTCCTAAAAATACTACCTACAAAATTACTACATAATATGTTAAACAGTATCACCCAAATTCATTTAGTGTACAAAAAGTAAAATGCATAGTGATGATGTACAATACACCCAAATTATGAGTCTTTAGTTACTCTATTTTCCATAATCTTCTTTTTATACTGGTATGTTCTTCCTTCTTCTTTTTTAATGCTGTCTTATTGAGGGAGAGTTGTTAGCCCACTTTTTCTTTTTCCTTTTTTTAGTGTTTGTTCCAAGCTTCTAGGTAGGGGAGGGAGAAAGGCTTAGAGGAACTGAACCTCTCGTGTCAATGTTATACCCAAATCTTAACAACTCGAGCTGGTACCAATTCAGTTGTCTTTTAGCCGTCTGTTCTGATATTTCCTTTGTCTTAACAGACTTCTACACATGTGTGTTTGATTACTGACTTTTGCTCCGGCGGAGAGATGTTTGCATTGCTTGACAAGCAACCCATGAAGATTTTCAAAGAAGAATCAGCAAGGTATTTTTGGTTTCCCATTAAGTATCTAACAGAACTTCACGGACCAGAATGATCAGTACATTTATTTCTCCTAAAACTTTATTTGTACTGAGAAATAAAGACCAGTAGAAGAATGATAGGCGCAGCCCAATATCATATTATTGAAAAAAGGTTTCTTCTGTATATTGATATTGAATAAATTACATGAGTGTGTATTTATACAAGGAAGAATTGCTAAGAATGACTCAGTGATGACTAATCAATCCTAATCACAATCAATTCTAATCAATCACAATCAATCATAATCAATCCTAATTAATAGGAAATAAAAACAGAAATATATTTGAATTCTGATTTTCTACACTCCCCCTCAAGTTGGGAGGTAAATGTTGATCATTCCCAACTTGCCAATCAAGTCTTCGAATGCTGGACGGTGTAGGCCCTTGGTAAAGATATCTGCAGTTTGCTCTTTGGTTGGAACATATATCATACGCACACTTCCATCATCTAATTTTTCTTTGATGAAGTGACGATCAACTTCCACGTGCTTTGTTCGATCATGATGCACAGGATTTTGAGCAATGCTAACAGCTGCCTTGTTGTCACAATATAGTTTTATTGGTAGGGAATATGAAATCTTCAATTCTTGAAGAAGTCTTCTCAACCAGATTCCTTCACAAACTCCATGAGCTAAAGCTCGAAATTCTGCCTCAGCACTACTTCTCGCAACCACTGTTTGCTTTTTGCTTCTCCAAGTAACAAGATTTCCCCACACATAGGTGCAATAGCCTGAGGTAGATCTCCTGTCTACTGATGAGCCTGCCCAATCTACATCAATGTAAATTTCAATTGTCCTTTTATACCCCTTTTTAAAGAATAATCCTCTTCCTGGAGTGTTCTTGAGGTATCTAAGCACCCTATAGACTGCACTAAGATGCTTCTCCTTGGGTGAGTGCATGAATTGACTAATCATACTCACTGCAAAGGCAATGTCAGGACGCGTATGAGATAAGTAAATTAGTTTACCAACCAAATCGCTGATATTGTTCTTTATCCACCTCATTCCCATCTTCAATACCTAACTTGGTATTAGGTTCCACAGGTGTCTCAACAGGTTTACACCCTAACATTCCTGTTTCCAACAAAAGATCTAGAACATATTTCTTTTGTGTGAGAGTGATGCTTGTTTTTCTCCTAGCAACTTCCATACCAAGGAAATATTTGAGAGTCCCAAGGTCTTTGAGTTCAAATTGAGCTGCTAGAAATTTCTTCAAGGTGTTCAATTCCTCAATATCATCACCTGTAAGAATTATATCATCTACATATACAATAAGAATAGCAATTTTACCATCCTTAGAGTGTTTGTGGAAGAGAGTATGATCAGTTTGTGCTTGAATGAAGCCTCTTCTTTTAACTGTTTGTGTGAATTTGTCGAACCATTCTCTGGGAGACTGTTTCAATCCATATAGAGACTTTTTTAGTTTACACACTGATCGATTTCTCTTTTCAAAACCAGGCGGAGGATCCATATAGACTTCTTCATGTAAGTCACCATTTAGGAATGCATTCTTCACATCTAACTGTTGCAGAGGCCATTCTAGGTTGGCAGCAAGAGATAAGAGAACTCGGATGGTATTGACTTTAGCAACCGGAGCAAAAGTCTCATGATAATCTATCCCATGAGTCTGAGTGAAACCCTTTGCAACCAATCTTGCCTTGTATCTGTTGATGCTATTATTTGCATTGAATTTTATTGTAAACACTCATTTGCATCCTACTGCCTGTTTTCCCTTGGGTAGGGTCACTATCTCCCAAGTTCCATTTCTTTCTAAAGCATTCATTTCTTCAAAGACAGCATCCCTCCATTTTTTATCATCGAGAGCCTCATGTATATTTCTCGGTATCTTTGTACTATCCAACATAGTATTGAAAGCACGGAACCCTGGGGACAACTTTCCATATGAAATATGATTAGAAATAGGATGAGTAGTACAAGATCGAGTACCTTTTCTGAGAGCAATGGGCAAGTGTAGATCATTTTCACCTTGACACTCAAGTGTTGGGGTGCTGGAACTAGAACATGGTTCAGAATCCTGGCAGTGTAGAGGCTCTGGGTTATTCACACTTTAAGGAGGCTTTCGCCTGCTATAAACTTGTCCCCATTTTGAGAAGGCTTCTGATGGTGAGGATTCTGTAGCTCCCCCTGTTTCCAAAAGTAGAGGTAATATTGTGGCATCAGTAGGTTCCCATGACTGATCTTCATCTACTCCTATAGACTCCCCCTGAAGAGAAGTCAAGGGGAAGAAAGGGTCATTCTCAGAAAAGGTGACATCCATATAGACAAAGACCTTATGAAGAGAGGGTGAATAACACTTATAGCCACGTTGAGTAGGAGAATAACCAATAAAGACACACTGGAGAGACTTAGGATCAAGCTTAGACCGTTGATGGGAGGGAATATGGACAAATACAACGCAACCAAATAACTTGAGAGGTAAGGAGGAGACGCCTCGGAAGGAAGGGAAGGTACGAAAAAAACTAGAAAGAGGAGACTGAAATTTTAGAATACAAGATGGCATTCGATTGATCAGATACGAGACAGTGAGAACTGCCTCTCCCCAAAGATATTTAGGAACACTCGTGGTAAACATAAGAACCCGAGCAACTTCTAGGAGATGTCGGTTTTTTCTTTCCGCAACTCCGTTTTGTTGGGGTGTGTCAAGACACGAGCTTTGGTGAAGGATGCCATGTTGGGAAAGATATTCTCCAAGAATAGAGTTAAAATACTCTTTGCCATTATCTGTACGAAGAATTTGTATAGCAACTTGGAATTGGGTTTGAACCATGGCATGAAATTTTTTAAACACGGATGCAGCATCAGACTTGTCCTTTAGAAGATATACCCAACAGACTCGAGAATGGTCATGAATGAAGGTAATGAACTATCGAGTACCTGAAATACTTTTAACACGGGATGGACCCTATATGTCACTATGAATTAAGGAAAATGGGGAAGAGTCATGGTGAACTTTAGAAGGATAATGAGCACGAGTATGCTTGGCAAGTTGACAAATATCACAAGAAAACAAACTAGGACTTTTATTAATAAATAAGTTTGGTAACAACTTCTGAAGATAAATAAAATTTGGATGGCCTAGCCTATGATGCCACAACATAACATCATTACATGAATCAAAAGAAAACATAGAGTTTTTTTCTACGAAAACAGCTTCATGAGTCACATCCTCCTCAAAGTAGTAAAGTCCACCATCCTCTCTAGCACTGCCAATCATCCTCTCCGAGTCCTGTTCCTGAAAAACACAACCATGTGGAAAGAATTTAGCAAAGCAATGCAACTCAGAAGTTAGCTTGCTAATGGAAATGAGATTACAAGCCAGAGAAGGAACATAAAGAACTGATGTCAAATTAATCAGCTCAGAGATTTTAATGGTTCCGTGTCCCGCAATCTGGGAAAAACTGCCATCGGCGATCTTAACCCGAAAGGGTTCAGAATATGGAGTGTATGAACAAAACAAGCCAAGATTACCTGTCATATGATCAGAGGCTCCAGAATCAAGGATCCAATGATTTTGACTATCAACATGGAAAGTTGTATCTTGCTGGACCATATTACTAGTGGCCTTAGGAGGTTGAGTCAAAAGTCTCTGAAGTTGTTCAAACTGAGTCTTGCTAAGAAAGACACCATCAGAGTCAGAGGATGCATGGGGCTCATCAACCTTGTCATCAGTAGAGACCTGATATGCACGACCTTTATTTTGTCCTTTGGGCTTCTAATTTGCAGGTTTCCCGTGGATTTCCCAACATTTCTCACGGGTATGACCAATTTTATTGCAGTGGGTGCACCACGGACGACCATCCCGTTTTGATTCTCCAGAGGAACGGTCAATGGTACGGTTGGCAGCTAATGCAGACATATCATCAAACTTATCAAGCGACTCCTTTTCTCCCAGCATTACTCTCCGTCTACTGGCTTCTCTACGAACTTCAGCAAAGGCGTCAGCAAGTGAAGGTAACGGTCGCTGCCCCAATATTCGACCACGAACCTCATCAAGATCTCGGTTGAGTCCGGCAAGGAAATCATACCATCTTTCCTTCTCCAAGTGTTTTTTAAATTGGGTATTAGCTTCCAATCCCTTAAGATCGGATGCATAATAAAGATCCAATTCCTGCCATAAATTTGTTAGTGCAGTAAAATATTCAGTAATAGTCATACACCTTTGACGAAAGTCTCTCAACTTATTTCTCAGTTCAAAGACTTGAGAGGTATTCTCCAGATCTGAGTAATTTTTTTGAACAGTATCCCAAATTTCCTTGGCAGTATCGAAGAACAGATAGGTTTGGCCAATTTGTGGTTCCATGGAATTAGTCTGCCAAGCCATGACCAAGGAATTATTAATCTCCCAATCATCATAATTAGGAGAATCCTCAGTAGGTTTCTTAATTTTTCCCTCGAGATAGCCCATCTTACCCTTTGCCCGGATGACCAACTTAACCTATTGAAACCATTGCAGAAAGTTCTTACCGTTCAACCGGTGATTAGTGATCTGCAAACCTAAGTTGTCTCCAGAGGGCTGAGAATTTGGGGCAGAAGAGGAGGCGGAAGAACGATTCAAAGAAGCCATGAGTAGAAAGTGAAGGTTTGACCGTGGACCCCAAATTTTTTTTTTCTCCAATTTGATATTTGACCACTGGAACAGGGACAAAGGAGGCCGACGAGGTGATCTGGGCAGCTCGCGCCGGGAAAAAAGTCCGGGAAGGCGGCGCGTGCATGACACGCGCCGGAGAGGAGCCGCGCGTGTGGCGGCGCGTGGGAGGTCTGACGGCAACGGGTCCGGCTGCGTTCAACTCGTCGGAGCCTTCTGAGTTGAATGGTACCTCCACCTTCTTGATTGGAGGTCTGTAGATATGGTTTTCTGGGATTTGGGTTTAGGTTGGATTGTGTTTGGGTGATTTTTGGATGATTTCAGCCTTGAAGGTGGCTGATTTAGGGTAGGAACGAACCCGCTCTTGATGCCATATTGAAAAAAGGTTTCTGTATATTGATATTGAATAAATTACATGAGTGTGTATTTATACAAGGAAGAATCGCTAAGAATGACTCAGCGACGACTAATCAATCCTAATCACAATCAATCCTAATCAATCATAATCAATCCTAATTAATAGGAAATAAAAACGAAAACATATTTGAATTCTGATTTTCTTCACATATAATAAGCTAATAGCTATTCTATATCAAATTGAATTGACTACTAACTACATACATTTAACCTGGACATATACCAACTAGACCTAATAAAAAACAGATGATTGTATTATATAAATTTATAATATCCAATATCGACCCTTATATTTTTTGTTAACTTCTATCACGTAACCAGATTCTATGCTGCAGAGGTTGTCATTTGTTTGGAATATCTCCACTGTTTAGGTACGTGGCTGATTATATCATTATTTTATAAGTTCATATTACCTTCTTAGGCTGTTTGTTATTCAATATATCATCAATCTGTATAGTTGCATGGGTTTAGTTCATAATATCTTCTATGGTATTTTGGTATTCACTGTTCAGTAACAATACAGTTGGAAGGATCTTTTTGTTAGGTGCTACCATACAGTAATTAATTTTTAAAAACCTACGGATGTTCCACAATTTTTGTTAAAATTCGGTGGGGTGGTTGGAATGAATTTATTCTTCTCAACCGTGGCCTTTTCCTTCTTTTCAATTACAACTTCCTCTTTATATTCTTTCTTAATTACTTCTTCATTAGAATTCGCACTTGGGGCTTCTAGCTTCTTGCGAATATTCTCTATAGCACTATACCACTTCTACAAGTGACACCCTTGAATTGCTCCTTTGTTTTGCCTCTAGGATAGGTTCAGTATCAATTGGAAATGTTCCTTAAGAATGATGATTAATAGCATTTGTCTGAATAGCCATTAGTGATGCCACTAAGTTTTTGAAGGGTCGCATCACTCTTTACAATGTAATGCTTGAGCATCTCCTCCAATGATGACTCTTCTGTTGTGGAGCTCTTGCTTGTGTTTGCAAGTTATACTTGCTCTACATTAGAAGAAGGTCCTTCATTATTGTTCCATGAAAAGTTTGGACAATTCTTTGCCTTGGATAATAATTGTCGGAGTATGGATAAATTTGCTGCCTGATTTCCAACATATTGTGCTTTTTCAATATTAGAAGGTCAGCGGTCACTAGAATTCTCATCTCTGCGTACTTAACATTCACAAAGAGCCTTTGGTCCGTAAGAACACCCAAAAGTGTCAGTCTTGTTTACAATGGTGGCTGTTTGAGCGGATAAGGAAGTTATCACATCAACCTTGGAACATTGGCCACTTTTCTCGTAGTCATCATTTGAAAAGGCCACTGGTAGTTGTTAGAGACCATTGCTTAAGCAAATCTTAGACTTGACTCATCTATGGACTTTTCCCAAAAGAGCTCCTCCTAATAGCACTATGAATAAAGGCCCAACATACCGTTATAGAGGATCTGAACTTGAAGCCATTTATGTAGCGAATGAGAAGGACATTTCCTAAGCAAATTCTTGTACCTCTCCCAAGCTTCCCGGAGAGATTCTGAATGGTGATATCATTTCTCATATTGACCGTTTTAGTCAATGGGAAGACCTTGACAATAAATTTTTGAGCCGAATCTGTTGGTGTCTTCAGTAACACTATTGTAAATACTCCATGTATATATTGTAATTATTATTGGTTTGGTATTCCTTTATGAGAGAGATTATGATAAGTCATATTATAGGGAAATTATGATACAAATTATAAGTGTGGTGTTAGAGATATATAAAACTATTAATGTAGCCTCACCCAACAGCTTAAGTTTTTGGGTTAAATTTGTTCTTTACATGGTATCAGAGCATCGATATCACGGGTTCGATCCTCTCCGCCATCCATTTAATTAATAATTAATTAAATTTTATGGAGTTTCTTAGCAAAGGTAAATGGGCCTGTGCATTGTCCATCCTTCAAACCTAGTAGGCTCTTGTGTGAAGGGACGTGTTAGAGATATATAAAATCACAACAGCTTAAGCTTTTGGGTTGAATTGGTTCTTTATATATGGTTTCTCCCAATATGCCTCCCTAAAATTATCCCTTTAATTAGGTATGTAATTATTAACAATTATTTGTATCAGGCTGTATATTGTAAATCCATGTACTTGATTATTCAAGCAATACCGTAAGTCTACCTTTCTTGCAGTCGTTTGACTTTGTTATATCCACTGCCTTTAGTAAGAATGCCGCCTTAATTGCGGGTTGTTATCTGTAGTGCCTTCACTATGCTTGAAAACTACTGGTCTAACCTTCGTTGTCTGCCCTTCACCGTTGCCACCCACAATCGGTCGACACTGAAAAAATTTTCTGGCAATCTTTCTGCCTGGTAACCCACAAATCATAAGTGTATTTTCATGTTCGATCTATCCCAGTCTTCTCTTCCCGAATCTAGTGAGTTCTATTCCACCTACTTGGGCCCTGTTTTGGTGTTTGTCCAGCCTTCTCCTTTGTTGTCTAGGGTGCTTGCACCCTTCTTTCTTTAGATCTGGTGAGTTTCCAGTTGTTTGCACCCTACGTTGGTATTTGTTCAGCCTTCTTCTCTACTCTCTGATTTTTTGATGTGCTCCCCAATAGACTTTTTTCCTTGTTTAGGGTTGTCCTTACCATCAGACACTAAATTATGGAAAATACGAAATTTTCTTTCAACCCTTAACTACCTCTAGTACTGCCTTTAAAGGCTCATAGGCTCTAAACCTAATCCCTAGAGCTATTAATGATATGAATTTTAGTTCATCACATTTTCACTCTTATCAACCTAGTTACACTAAGCATACTACAACCGAAGCTAATGGTTCCCATACCTCTGTTGTTGGTTGTGATACTATCAACCTCCAACCTTCCTTACACTCGAAAAATGTCTACATGTTCCATAACTTCCAGTAATTTGATTTCCATTCATAAAATAACCAAAGACTTAAATTCTGCAGTCACTTTCTTCCATTTTCATTGTGTCTTTCAAGTTCCACGAGAAGGATGATTGGCATTGCTAAAGAGCAGGGAGGGTTATATTATATCCTCAACAAACCTGATCCTGGCAGTCACAATCAGAAGCTACCAGTTAAAAAGTTCAATTCTTAGTCTCGCGCTTCACAAATTTGGCTTCAATATAGGTATTTAGGTCACCCTCCTTTTTCTTTGTTAAAGTTTTTGTTTCCCTTTTTATTTTCAAAAGTTGTTCAATATTTTCACTGTGATGCTTGTAAACTGGCTAAACATCATGGGGTAACCTTTTCTCCCAGTTCTCAAAAAAATGTTGAACCTTTTTCGTTTATTAATTCTGATGTTTGGGGATCTTGTTCTATTTCTAATATTTTTCGATAAAAGATGGTTTGTTTCATTTGTTGATTACAATACTCAAGTGACTTGGTTATTCCAGATGAAAGTCAAATCAAAAGGGTATACCATTATTTTGTTGACTTTTATTTATTACTAAAACACATTTTGAAAAGTCTATCAAGTCCTTGTGCTCTGGAAATGGTAGAGAGTGTGTCAACTTGCCATTTTTTACCTTCTTAAGGGAACATGATATTATTTATGAACTCACATGTTGAATACCTCTCAGAAAATGGTGTTATCAAATGAAAGAATCAACATTTAGTGGAAATTACAAGAGTACTATTCCAAATGTCTGTTCCTAATTCATATTGTGGGGAAGTTGTATTAGCAGTCGATTGGAAATGTTAGTCTTGTTCACCACATACTTAATTCATATTATGGGACTCGAGTCTTACATCGGAAACATAAGGGCCTGGTATGGGGTATATATGGACTTTGAACTCTCCTACCTTATGAGCTAGCTTTTAAAGTAAGACTCTCCCAAGGTTCATATCAATTGGTATTAGAGTCTTCCACTATGTCTCCCAGTTGCAATTGAATTATGTAGCTGGTGATGCTGGCATTCCAGTATTTGCCCAGGGCTAGTAAAAGACTAGCACAAAGCCAGTTTGTTGGACGTCGGGGCTAGTAAGATGTTATATCCAATTGCAAGGTATGAGACTTGAGTCTCACATCGGAAATATAAGGGTTTAGTATGGGGTTTATATGGACTTTTCTCCTACCTTATGAGTTAACTTTTAAGGTGAGACTCTATCGAGGTTCATATCAATCACCTTTCATGAAGATGTGTCATACTTTGTCATCACCTTTAGGGGAAGAATGTTCTTCAATCCATAGTTGAAGTTGAGTCCTCCTTCCTAAGTCTCCCTTCCATTACTTTTTGAATTTACTAATGTGCGAGGATTAATTCCTTTTTTCTGGTGACTCAACTAAATCAGCTTTTGAGCCAACTAAGACTAAGGCTGGGGAAAATTCCTTCACTTAGTACTCTATCTCTCAAATTTTCTCTTCTAAAAACCTTTATGTGCAGCTTAAGAGTTTTGTTTTAGCCCCTAATTCCATTAGAATTCCAACATCAGTGTAAAAAGCATTAAAATATGATGGCTTTTGAAGGCACGGGCTGCATGTGTAGCAATAAATGATGACAAGCCTCCGAGATTTGGATAACTTGGACAAGGTGCTTTAGATTCGAGAATTTTAAGACCTGGTTAGAAAATTTTTTACTCATTACAAATGTTGAAGGCACATCGTATTGTTGCTAGACGGAGGCGCAATAAGACTTTCTCACTAGTATTAAGGCACAATGAGTAGGGATGTAAATGGATTAGACAATCTATTCAGGCCAAGTTTGACCTACTATATCTAATAAAATAGAACAGGCTCAAACTTTTAAAAAAGACTTTTTAGAAAGCAGGCTATAAGCTTTCTTTTACAAGGACTAGCATATAAGCTTACATGCTGGCCTATATCATATTATTTATTTTAAATAAAATAAATAAAATTATTATTTTAATGATTTCAATTATAAAGTAATATTATTTTAATTAATTTTTTAATTATTGAATGCGTAATAGACTTAAACAAGCTAACAGGTCTAGGCAAGCCTTTTGTTTTTTAAATATAGGTCAGACCAAATTTTTAATTTGGGTCTACATAAGGCTAACAGATCAAGTCAAGCCTAAAATATTTTACACAGACATGACCTATTTAAATCAAATCCTAACTCAACTCAACTCATTTACACCATTAACGTTAGAACGATTACTATGCAGTGGGCATAGTTGGTTTGGAGATATTTGCGAATAAGAAGATGCCATGGTATAAAAATAAGATAATTCCTACCCCTTTGAGAACCTTTGAAAGAAAGCTCGATAATTCTTAGCTCTTGGTCTCCCTCTCAATCTGTAAGCTCTCTCTCAAAGCTTTCAAATGTTGTTGGTGAGTATTGGAGGGAAGTTAGGTTGCCCAATTTATTGTGCTCTTGGTCGTGACAACCTTCTTCCCCACGTA